AGCAGCATCAATCTGAGCTGATCAGCATCATCAGCATCTTAGCATTCCAGGGTGACAACGTATTTGCGTTGCCTGATTCATTTTCGAGGATACATGTAGGTGTCTATGGGCCACAGTATCCATTTATCATTACGTAGACTGTTTGACATCATAACTCTATAAAAAAAAAACTACGAGACTAAATCCGTTTGCCAGACGTAGCAATAAAGGCAAATTCTCTCTACAAATGAAGAGGCCTATGTCCTACAGTGAATGCTGTTGAATGTTGTTGAACGAGGGTTCATTGTCACACACACACACACACACACACACACACACACACACACACACACACAGCGCGCGCGCGCACGCACGCACGCACGCACGCACACACGCACACACGCACGAACGCACGAACGCACGCACGCACACACACGACACGACACAACCTCTGGGACCATACGAAAATGTTTTACTTTTATATATCAATAAAATTACATAATGATGATAGATTAGGAGATGAAGTTAATTATAGATATTGAGCTGGTCACAGAAAATACTATGCGTGTTCCAGTATTAATAATTCTAGTGCAAACTCAGCTGAAGCAAGATCCGAGGATTAAGCCATATTCGCTTAAACTTAAGTATAAAAAGCAGTGGGTAATCTGGCATTTATAAGGGCTTAGTGGAGCACGGGGTAAGGGCGACGTATTTAGGTCAATCCCGTATCTTCATTGCCCATTTAAGAAAACCGACTTAGTAAAAACATATATTATAATGTCTATAATGTAACATTAAACTTAATTAATTTGTTCTTTGTTCAGTTTCTTGTGTTAATTAAAAAAGTTTTCTCATAAGTCAATTATTCTTTTGAACTCTCTTAAAAACTATGAGACAGTAAGACTTATTTAAAAGTTTTACACGACTGCCTCAGAAGGAGGACAATGTTTTTCGAGAATATGTATGTATGTATGTATGTCTATTTGTTTGGCACGGTATGTAGCCTAAACAGCTGGATGGATTTCACCATGTGAGGTGTCGTTAGATATGCCCCAACTGTGGGAGAGACATAGGATATGTAATATTTATAAATAGCATCTGCAAATACAAAAAAAAAACTGGCCAGGTGCGTGTCTGGCCACGTATTTTTTTTTATAGGATAAGGGTGACAAACGAGCCCACAGTCCACCTGATGGTAAGTGGTTGCTGTGGTGTGGGTTACGAATCAAAATGCAGATGCGTTGTCACCCGTGAGGACTAAGATGGAATGCCTATTTCCCAGAAAAAAGGGCTCCAGTTCTCTACACTCACCATACGAAACACAGCAGCGTTAAGCTGCTATTTTACGCTGGTATTCTGTGAGAGCGTGGTCCTTCCCCGGTCAAACCGACCCATTCGTGCTACAACCATAATACAGCTGCAGCATGGCTCTACCACGTATATATATAAATATATATATATATATATATATATATATATATATATATATATAGTATATACGTATAATGTACAGTTAGGATTCCCTAGTTACCCGTCACAATTCGTGGACTTTCTTGATAATGAGCATGATAAGTTAGTTCGCAGTTTGACCCAAATAGGAAGATGGTAAATGAAGGTCTTATTTTCAAATCAGTATTATTTACGAAAACTTACTTAGTTATTAAAAAAGATTAAAAAATCTTTTTAATTTTGAAAATAATACAATTTACATCAAATCATTCACATGCCCCAAAAGTTCAAAGATGATCATAGTTGACTATCTAATCCGAATATATATTACCAGCAGTGCAACCCTAAGATATACATATATGACCGTAACGAACTTTTACGTAAACCACCACTGCTCTAAATTATCCTAAGGTCGCCCGCGTAAACCATGAGTGTGACGAGTGAAACTGTATGAGGCTATATGATTGTATGAATACTTTGAATAATAACTACCAACTAAAAAATAAGTGAAAGTGTAAGAAGTAAGAAAGATCCTCCCTGCCTATTACGCAAATGAAAAATAAAACCAAATTGGCCTCTAAAAAGCTGGGCGTGCTCAGCAGAGCGAGACAGTATTTCATGCCGGCACATCGGTTGCAACTTTACAAAGCGCAAGTTCGGCCTCACTCACATTGAATACTGTTCTCATCTCTGTGCCGGGGCACCCCAGTGCCAGCTCCTTCCACTTGACCGCATCCAGCGCAGAGCGGTTTGAATCGTCGACGACGGAGTTCTTTCCGATCGGCTCGATACACTGGCACTGCGTAGAGATGTTGCATCTCTTTGCGTATTTTATCGCATTTATCACGGGGAGTGCTTTGACAGATTGTTCGGACTAATTCCAGCCGCTCAATTTCACCATCGCACATTGCGACAAAACTCGCGATACCATCCATATCATCTGGATGATTGGCGGTCCACCACTGTGCGATTTAGAAGAAGTTTTATCCCTCGCACAACTTCCTTGTGGAATCGATTACCACCAGCGATTTTTTCGGACCGATACGACTTAGGAACTTTCATGAAAAGAGCTTACACCTTTCTAAAAGGCCGGCAACGCATGTGCAATTCCCCTGATGTTGCGGTTGTTCATGGGCGGTGGTATTCATTTACCATCAGGTGAGCCGCATGCTCGTTTGCCCCTCTCCTATAAAAAAAACGCAAATGAAAGAGTAAAGCTATAGTAGTAATGCATAGAAGTTGTTTTCTTCATAAATTTATTATTTTTACAGTTCGCAATAATATTACAGTTATAATGCAGCCAGTTTTAGGTCATTTTCTATGGAGTTGTAACGAAATGTTTACTAATCTAAGTGCATTTTATAAGTTGGCAACTGTTTCTCGTTAAGTTCTTAATTCTACTTAGCTGTGATAGTTTTCCTTTTAACTTCATTATATTTACTACTGTCGGTTATACTTTTCATATTTCCGAAAACAGAAGTTTAGTGAGGGGGGAGGGGGAGGCACATGACTCAATGAAAAATATCACTTTAAAGCTAAATAGCAAACGGACCCCTGCATCGAAAAGATGTTGTTCCATATTCCCAGTGTTTTTGAAAGACGAGTAAAAAAATCATCCTCCATTTACTTGCAGGGGAAGTACCCGAAACAACAATGTATATTAAGATTTTATTTCACTGTTTTGTAGGCGTAATTATTATTTATAACTGTGCCAAATCACATATTTGTAGTACCTAAGGTCTCTGGTTAAACCCTCGGACAGACATGGCGAAACTATAAGGGTTGCTTATTGTGTAACTATGGAACCCTAAAAACGGGAGGGGAAGGTTTTTGCCGTATATTTTTTAAGTTAAAAGTAAACAGTCGGTTTTTTATATATTATTTTAATCATGAAGCTTGTTATATAATAATTTCTTATTTAAACGCGAATACTAATAATTTAATATATTTTTATAAAATAAAAAATGTTTAACTTGTAAACTAAGTATATAATTATTACATACAATGGGGAGCTAATTTGCTAAAATTAATGATACTCGTATTAGCGTCAGCGAGTTATATCAATATCAGCTCTTTTGGCTCGCCGCTCACTTAGTGGTCAGCCACCGCAGCGGCTATTTCACCTGAGGTTGCCTCATTTAGAAGCAAAACATGTGTCGTGTTATCGACGGAGGTGTGTCCTTCTTAGTGTTGTTGGGAGTAGTAGTTTTGGGGGTAGTGGTGTTGGGATTAGTGAAGACGGGGATAGTGCATGTAACTGAGGGAGGACGGAAGGTGCTCTTCTTAACTAGGTGAGACAAATCATTTTATTTTATTACGCGCATCTTAGCCAATAAATGATTAACCTCTGCAATTACATTTATGTCGAAGAAAAGTCGCATTCAATGAAGCCATTATTATCAACAGGCCTTGTGGGCGACATTTTGGGTAAATACAAGCACAACACACAACACAAATAATAAACTTGTTTATACTTTTACTAATTTAAATTAAACTTTACAGAAAATAACACTAACTAAATTTTATTAAAAAATATTAAAATTAATAAAAGAGCAACGAGTTCGTAATGCGACACAGACATACACCATCACATACCAAACAGAAAAACAAAACTGTACCCCACGCCGATTCTATCCGCTCCTCTTTTGTCTTTTTCTTTCATCCAGTCGCACCACGACTCCGCTCGAGACGTTTCACCAGCGAACCTCGCTCTGATTGGTTGTTGTGATTACCGTATTAATCAAGCCATGAACCTCTGGCTTTTGATTGGTTAATTAAAAGAAATACAACAATAATAAATAATCTCTAATTCTTAAGAAATTTTATGGCTAAATTAATATTAATGAAATTAAGATTAAACATTATAATTGATTTTATTAAACTATTTAATTCATTAATTAAATTTCATAGTTTTATTCATTCCCGTTACGGCCTTCCTGACATTTCACACGTCCTCGGGCTATGCTTTTTGATCGGTATTATTTTGATCTACAAAGAGAAAAAATAAGACTCTACGATAAATTACTGTCTTCATTCATAAATAATAATTATTACTTAAAGTAGCTTCCACTATCCAAACAGCCAATGTTGCCATATTATCCAACCTCTGTTCTAAAAGAAGACTCCCCATACAAAACAATTTCCGCTATCAATGCAGCCTCCGCTGTCAAAGCAACCTCCGCTGTCGAAGCAGGCTCCTCCGCTGTCAAGGCAGCCTCCGCTATCAAAGCAGCCTCTACTGTCAAAGCAACCTCCTATGTTGTAACACTTTATATTATACCCATGCTACCAAATGTATGTAGTCTCCGCTATCCATCCAAATCCTACTTTATTATCATTTAATTTTTACATTAAAAAATGAAATAGAGAGCAAATCTTACCATCGGCACTGTCTGATAAGTAGAAATCCAGTTCTGTGGGAATATATGATTGAGGTAATGGACGTAAACGATCTCGAGAGTATCTATAAGTGCGGTTAGAATTTAACTTATTTCATTTGATACCTGTCACCGTCTTAAACTTCAATTAAGGACCTTTATATTTAGGATCTAATTTGATTTCGCCCGTGATTTTCAATCAAGAGAATCATAATCTCCTGCAGCAAATGATGTAACTTTTGCTTTATTTACGTCTTTATGCATTAACTTTTCAGCTCTCCCTCGCAACTCTTCCAAGTCAATTTCAATTCCATGATCATCGACTGCCATTAAACTTAAAGGTCTCGGGACTTTCCCAACCAACAATTCTAGTAGACTTTCCTTCGTTACTCTATGTGTTGTACTATTTAAAGATAACTGTATGTCGTCTAAAGCATTCTGCCAAGATCTATCATGACTACTCTCTACTATCGTTAGAATATTTTTCAGAGTGCTCATCATACGCTCCACTTAACCGTTAGCTTGACTAGAACCAGTTGCTATAACATGTAAATGAATATTATGATTTTTGCAAAATACCCTAAATTCAGTATTTGCAAAGCATCTACCTTGGTTTGCTATTATTCTTACAGGAGTACCAAAAAGTATTATAGAAGCTTTGATGGCTTCTAATTCACTCGTGGCGTTTATTCCCAACGAGTGACGTAGCAACACATATTTAGTAAACGCGTCAATAAGTACAAATACGTACTCTTTTGGGTCGATTATGCCATTAAGCTTGCCGGTAGCGTCTACATGAATTGTATGCCACGGTACATAAACTCTTTGGATTGACACTTTACAGTTAATACAGTTTTCAACAAATTTTCTAACATACTTTGCCATGTTAGGAAACCAATAATGTTGGTAAGTTTTTTTCTAAAGTTTTTTTTTTCATCCCAAGTGTATGATGGATTTATGAATATGATTTATAGCTAACCAACGAAAAGCTCTTAGTACAATAGGAAGCCATATATTTCGATTATTTCTTTGACTTTTACTGTACAGAACATTGAAACATTTTTGCTTTACATCTTTTTTTAATAACTTCATTATTTACAATTAATTTGTTCGGTATTGAAAGATGGTTTCTAAAAAGAAAATCGACATGGACCATTTTTTTCCTTCTCTATATTCTACCTCAAACTCAGAGGCTTGCAAAAACGCCCACCAACGATGTACCCTGGATGTTAGATCAACTTTAGTTCTTGATTACTTCAATGAGTTACAATCAGTTACTACTGTAAATGATCTACCGTACAAATAATGTCGAAAATGTTTAACCGAATTGACAACTGCTAATGTTTCCAAATGTATTAGAATTAAGTTCTCTATAGTTTACACATATGCGGTCTGATCTACCACGCTTCTTAACTAACAAAATGGGACTAGAGAAAGGAGATTTGATTGGACGAATCACACTCGCTACTAAACGTATATTTCACATATTACGAATAATTTCACGTTCACACTTAAATAATAAGGTCTCCTCTGCACAATTTTATTAGGATCTACTAATCTTATTTATAACTCTCCCGTTTTTATTCTACTAGCTGGCGTTCCCTCAACAAACGACTTTACAAAACTTTGAAGAATTTTCCTCAAATTATAAATAAATGATGGTCAATATCAATGTTGATATTATCAAATGTAGTCACAGCCCTACAAAATAAAATCAACGCCCCTCGCAAATATTAACAACACTAGACTTCTTAACTGTTAGAATATCGGATGAAAATTCTACTATAAAACCTAGCCCTATAAATCACGTCCTATTAATATATCATTATTCAAATATTTATTGGGTATAATATGAAATAATATTTCTACGTTGTAGCTGCAAAGAGTTATAATTTAAAAAAATTGTGATTTACATATTACTTGATACTTGCCTACACCAACAATGGTGATGATAGCATGCTGTGGTTTGCCAGACAATTTGTTAGCTGTAATTTCTCTAATAAGGGAACAATCAACTCCAGAATGCAAAACAAAAAGAATTTTCTCACCAAACTGTATAATAACTCCAGTGACAGGTTTTAAAGCCGCACAGATTAACTCTCCTCTCCACATTCGGCGACGTTGTTGCCAGTTACTGTATACTACTACCTGCAGACGATCATGTTTTAAGCATCGACGCCATGTGACCATCGACTCCACACGTGTAGCACTTGATTACATGCTTGATCATTGTTTAACTTTTATTAAGATTATCGGAACTTGAGGTAGGTTTAGTCTTCTCATTTGATCGACTGAAACATTCATATGATCTCTGACCAAGTTTTCCGCAAGCATAACATTCCATTGCAGAAGTTGAAAATTTTGAGCGTTTCGTATCCGGTATATAAGTATCTCTGTTCGCATTTGTTTCTTGAACCGTCCATTTGCGATAAGAAAATGCCAACAATTCGCGTTGCATTTTATAGCGATTATTTATTTATTCTGTAATAATATTGCGTTGTAAGCGTTGTTAAATTTAACCAATATGAGCAAGAATTGCAGATACAGCTATTTGTTCTTTGCTTTAATTAGTCCATCGAGACATAAATAGTGTCTCTCTACTCTTCACGTGGTAGAGCCATGCTGCAGCAATATTATGGTTGTAGCACGAATGGGTCAGCTCGACCGGGGAAGGACCACGCTCTCACAGAAAACCAGCGTAAAATAGCAGCTTAACGCTGCTGTGTTTCGTATGGTGATTGTAGAGAACCGGAGACCCTTTTTACTGGCAAAGAGGCATTCCATCTTAGTCCTCACGGGTGACAACGCATCTGCATCTTGAGTCCTTATTGAGGATAGATGTAGATGTCTATGGGTCACAGTAACCACTTACCATCACGTAGACTGTGTGCTCATTTGTCACCCGATCCTATAAAAAAAATAAAGAAACTAATCTGGTCGAGTATGAAGCAAGTGATTCGCCATCATGCGGTTTACCATTGATAATTTTAAAAATTGTAGCTGCACATGTATCTGCCGTATCAAACCGAGACGAAAAAAATTTCTTTAAATTCTGCCCACAACATATTAGGATAAGAAGCCTGTGGGAACAATGTAGCAGCAGATCCTTTCAAAGCTTTACTAATAGTAATTATCAATCAACTTCCCTGTATTTAGTACTCGGTCTTACAGATATCTGCAGTTGCTAACCAAACTTGAGCATCAGCGTCTTCATTTTGAGGATAAAATTCTGGCAGCGTAAAGTGCTTGATATTATCTTGTGGTTTATGTAAGGCCTCCACGAGGAGTTGGATACTATTACTGTGCGCTTCAAATAAAGCACGCCATCGGTCATTATCATCCTTCGAAGTTTTACTAAATAAATCAAGTGCTTGCAATTATCCCACTTCTGACGACGAAGAAAAGTCGCATTCAATGAAGCCATTATTATCAACAGGTCTTGTGGGCGACATTTTGGGTAAATACAAGCACAATACACAACACAAATAATAAACTTGTTTATAATTTTACTAATTTTAATTAAACTTTACAGAAAATAACACTACCTAAATTTTATTAAAAAATATTAAAATTAATAAAAGAGCAGCGAGTTCGTAATGCGACACAGACACACACCATCACACACCAAACAGCCAAAACAAAACTTTACCCCACGCCGATTCTATCCGCTCCTCTTTTGTCTTTGTTTTCATCCAGTCGCACCACGACTCCGCTCGAGGCGTTTCACCAGCGAACCTCGCTCTGATTGGTTGTTGTGATCAGCGTATTAATCAAGCCATGAACCTCCGGCTTTTGATTGGTTAATTAAAAGAAATACAACACAATAATAAATAATCTTTAATTCTTAAGACATTTTATGGCTAAATTAATATTAATGAAAGTAAGATTAAACATTAGAATTGATATTATTTAAACTATTTAGTTCATTATTAAAATTTCATAGTTTTATTCATTCCCGTTATATATTTATAAAATCTTCATTTTTTGAAATCCCGCAGAAGTCCATTGAGGGACATGAGCGTATGCCATAGGAAGGCATTGAGTTATATGTACTACGTACTAGAGAAGCCATTCCGAACATTGACTATGTTCAACTGAACTGTAGTGCAGTCCATACAAACTAAATATTGCGTAAATTGAAGATTTGTGAATTCCAGAAAATAATTATTATTACATTTTATTTAGAAATGTAATATGTTTCTTTATATTAATTTATGATATTTTATATTAAATTCTTATATTTAAGTATTTTATATTAATATCTTATTTTATATCAAATGAAAGGTTTCGTTCATGCGCGACTACTACTCCCGCGCACGCGAAGACATAGAGTAGGACACAATTTTTGTTTGGAATGGCTTCTCTAGTACGTAGTACATATAACTCAATGTAGGAAGGATATCAAATAACCAAAACGTATGGCATCTTGATTCCTAAAACACAGCTCACGGCTCGGGGGCCAGGGAATGAATAAGTTCATGTAAAAGGTGTTATAAATAAAATAAAATAAATTAATTAATGAAAGGAGGATAGTTCATCATAGTACCAGACCTCACGCACATTATCATTGTTATCCATTAACGGTCGAGATTCTTCAAACCTGTAATATCCATTAATTCCATATTTCATTACAGCCCATCCAAAGTCAATTGCTCAACATAGGCCTTCCCATATATTACTTCATAAGAGATATATGTCATAATAGCCATGCTTGGTGAACGGGTTGCCAACAGTTTTTGGGTTGTTTTCAGCAAAATGGTGGTGGTAACGAGGTATTTCATCTTAGTCCATCGAAATGACAACGCACCTACATTTTGATTCATAATCGAAGATTAGACATGTATTTAACGTGAAACTGTATGCCTATTTACCACGCTTACTTGTAATTTAAAGTAATTTATGTTACGAAAATGATCTGTATACAACATATATTTTTTTACGTGGTAGAGCCTTGCTGCAGCTATATCATGGTTGTAGCACGAATGGGTCGGCTCGACCGGGGAAGGACCACGCTCTCACAGAATACCAGCATAAAATAGCAGCTTAACACTGCTGTGTTTCGTATGGTGAGTTTAGAGAACCGGAGATACTTTTTACTGGAAAAGAGACATTCCATCTTAGTCCTTAGGGGTGACAACGCATCTGCATTCGCAAACGAGGATAGATGTAGATGTCTATGGGCCACAGCTTCCACTTACCATCAGGTGGACTGTGTGCTCCTTTGTCAGCCTATCCTATAAAATAAAAGAAGTCAATTGATGGACATGAGTGTATTGAAGGATATGAAATAATCAAAACGTATGGCATCTTGATTCATAAAACACAGCACACGGCTCGGGGACCAGAGAATGAATAAGTTGATGTAAAAGGTGTTAAAAATAAAATAAATAAATTATTGACAGGAGGATAGTTCATCATAGTACCAGACCTCACGCACATTTGCATTGTTCTCCATCAACGGTCTAGATTTTTCAAACCTGTAATATCCATTAATTTCATAT